GGGGGGGGGGGGGGGGGGGGTGCGAAAAAATAATGTACGCCAGCGTCTTATCGTTTATTAGCATTTAATTTATTTTTATTTTCCTATTTTCGACAGAAATAAAAGTAATTTTGCACTAATGATAGATCATTCTTTAGGTGGAAGGAGCTTTTGACCTTTCTGTATCCGTTATCAGCTGAAGTGGGCACGAGGGGAAAAGGTAGGAAGGGGTGGCACGCGAATATACACTCCGCGCGCTTCGAAAATAGCGCGCCACGCTAACTTTCAACGGTCATAACTTTTGAACCGTTTGTTTCCCCAAGTTGAACCATAGCTCGTTTTAAAGCTTGAATCAAGGGCTTTCATTAAAATTGGTTTTTGTAATGATTCCTTTTGAAATGATGCTTTTTAAAGGAAAATTCGAAAAACTGAATTTTTTGGGCTTGAAAAATCAAACAATGATTTTTGCACACTAAAAAATTACCAAAAACAGATTTTAATATGCACCAAATGAAAGGTCTTGTTGAGAGCTTTCATTTGAGCCCAAGATCAAGTTGATCCTTTGTTTCGTTCTATTCAAGAGTGGATATTTAGGCTGCTTATCGTTAGATTTGTATGAGACTTGGTATCCGGGGGTTTTTGGGGGGTACTTTCATTGGATTTTGGAAATTTCAAAAAACCTTATAATGGCGGCAAAAAAATGACGGGAAATCCATATCACGGCTTTTTACCGATGTACTAAATACTTTAAAAATGGCGGCGAAAAAATCGGTGTTATGGTCGGTTCGTTAAAAGATCGCTAAATGATTCGTTCTTCTCATGCCGAAATATACCCCCCGAATCCCAAGGGTAACGCTTCATCCTGTCCACAGTTCATGGACACCACGAACAAAAATCTTAAATTAGTGTGTTAAATTAGGAATACTTTCAAAAGCACATGCTACAATGACACGCTGAATGGGGTTGTTGCATGCAGCTGGGATTTCAGATTTGACGACTGTTTCAAGCAAAACTTCTCGCGAAAAAACCGTTTTTCTCATTAGCAAGTACCGAAATCGAGTTGAAAGCTTCGTAGAAGCTCGACAAAAAGTCGCCAAATCGCAGTGAGAAATCGCGATTTCCATTGGCTGTGACGTCAGTTGGTATACAAGGCCTATTAACCTATTAACTTTGTCCTAAGATGGAAAAATTGCCTCCTGGGACGCAGATTTTCAGGATTGCAAAAACTCCAATTAGATTGTTCCGCTTGTGTTTTCTTTTTTTTTTTTTAACCAAATCTTAGAGATGTCTTTGAAAGGGAAGTCAAACGAATCAATAACAGTTAAAGTTTAGAGGTGAAGTTCAAATACTGATCATCGGTATGACAAGTCTTGGTTCCTTATTTTTTAGTGGGTTAAAAATAGGTAAGGTATAAATGCCTTGGCATGAAAGTTTGACTAGATTTTCGAGCGAATTTATCCATTTAAGAATATTCAGTATGCTGTATTTCTTGCGTACAACGGACCCATTAAACTTGTTTGCTTCAAGGCATGCAGGTTTTTGAAATTGTAAGGAACACTTTTGCAAAGAACATCAATGCAACAATAAACAGGGATTGACTAATTTTATAAGTTCCGTTTTTGGCGGACTTCTCTTACTTCATGGTGAGTTTACCTCACGGCTCAAATCCATGGATTTAAGACTATGTTTTTTCCCCACACCTGCTCTATTTCTATTTCCACTTGTATTTCATTTCTAGGTGAAATTTGATTAAACGCTACAAGAGTTCCCTGAGGTTTTTAACTGCCAAAAAACCCTCCTGGTCTCCGCCACCTGCCTATTACATTTTTTTTTTTTATTTTCCAGACTAAGTACCCCTCTAAAGGGCTTAATGGATGCCAAAAAGTCAAAAAAAGGAAAAAGAAGCTCATCCGTCTCAGGTAAATTTTCGTTCAATACGTTCACACGTTCAATACGTAATGCCAGTTGAATTTTATGGTTTGTCATAGCTATAGAATTTTGAGTTGCAGTGGAATTGCCAATTTCTCGGTTAGATTAGCCCTATACACTATATTTGTCAACAATCCGAAAGAAGTGTCTGAATTTTTCAGGAGAAAATTTCCTTTGCGTTTTAAGAAGCATGCAAGGAAATTATGGTAATTTGATTCCTTTCATCCCGCCTCTCACATTTGCTCCTCATACAGGGTGATCTAAGTTTAAACCGCCAGACTGCAGGAGCGTATTCTACCGGACAACTTTTTCCACAACGACTTTTACTTTATCGCTCTCCTTGCGGGTAGAGAGGAATTACTGTCATCGGGGGGGGGGGGGGGGGGGGGAATCTGATTTCATCATTTCTATGCATGCATCTAAAGGTGCCTGGAGTAAGAAAAACCGAAGGAGGGGTATCGTTAAGGGCCTTTTTTGGGCCCACCCTTAAATTCCTCAACTCTGCGATTTTTTGGTCATTCAAGGACTATATTTTATGGAATGCATCATGGTTTGGTGCCGGTCTATTTCGGGGTCTACCATTCGCCTAAACATAAGTCTGAAGGCCAATTTTTGCGAAAAATGCAGAATTTTTGGCATCCGACGCGCTATTTCATGACGATTCCTTTGGAGGAACCAAAAGTCCCTCAAGTATGTTCATTATGGTTTTAAAAGAGCCTCTTTCGCCAATTTTCCTCTATGTCAATAGTCTCATAGCTAGTCGATGTCTCATAGTTATAAAATTTTTTTTAGAATGTTCCTGTTTTTCATCAATATTTAAAATGGCCTAAAAAAGGTGAATCATCTTACCCCAGAATTGAACTTTTTTGGCAGAAAATGGCCGCGGATGGTCCAAACCTTCCTCCAAGACCTTGTTTTATTCAAGGCCCACCCAAAAAAGCCGGTGTTGCCATATTTTATTGCCTGAATTTACGGAAAATCTAGTATTTCAGAATTGGAAGGCTGTTTTGGAGATTGGTTCCAATTTTAAATTGGCCTGGCGGCCATTTTGTCACCGATTTCGACTGCCAGACCAATTCATTTGCGTTATGGGCATAAAATTCTACATGGTGGTAAAATTTCATGCATAGATTGCTCCAGTTAAATTATGTCAAATTTTTTTGAAATTTGAAGTCTTATGGCCATTGAACATCACCAATATGACCTGCCAGACCGACTGATCTTCAATCATCAATAAAATAGACATCGAAAAAAAATGGTGGCATTTTTAGATCTTTCCGGTTGAAACTCTTCGAGCGACCTCTTGGACTAAAATGTCTAATATCATTTGAGGTTAAGATTTTTTAAGTGCACGTGCGCCCTTGAACTACAACAAGCGAAGTGGTAAATAATTCTGCTGGTAGTCCCCTTTGATAAGTCTCTGACGCATCCAGCTTGCCTTTGAAGCAAGTTTAGTTGCCTGAGTCACTAATGTGAGGAAACATCATTGGGTGTGTTTCTTACGAGAAGGTGCTGTCTTGAAAAACCCCCCAAAAGTATTTAAATTAAATAGGTTTCCGTTAATTCTCTAGGTGATAACCCATCTGATTTTCTTCCAACAGTATGTTATTCAAAAAACAAGGAATGCAAGCACCTGATATGCTTTGCGTGAAGTATCATAAACCCCTGTCATTTTTAAATGGCAATGGATTACCAATTATGAAATAAATTGTTGATGAATTGTCACGAAATTTTGCAATTATATGAGGGAATCTATGCTGCGATCGGGAGTGGCAAGGATTTTGGATTCGTTAAGTTTTTGGGGAGATATCGTAATGGGAATGCTGCAAAACCACGTATGAGACCGAAACCAGGTAAATGCATGTAAATATAGAGTCTGGTTACCCATCTCGGATCTTATAGGCTTGACGGGGTAGCTAACGCTCCTTAAAATTTATACTAAAAATCAGCCTGAGAAGGGAACTACACACAAATATTAATTTTTAAAATTTATGGTACCTGATCCAGCTTGTTTCAACTGTGAAAGGAGGTACCACAGGGCTCATAAGAGCAGTTAGAAGCTTTTTTTTGAAAAGCGAGGATCCCTACTCAAGCACCCTTTCGTCTTTCAATATTTTCTCATCAAGTATGTTTTTAAATGCACGTAGAAAAAACCAGGCATCCGCAATCACTACTAGAGCCTTCCCAAACATCCTCTCAATCCCACGAGCACCTCTCCATGAAGTATTAAAAGAATCAGCAAGATTTTACTATTCTCTGGCAGCTACCTACGAACTTAGTGCGAAAAACATTGCAGAAGCGATAGCAAACGCTAAAGAAAAGGGCGATGAATTCATGAGCAAAGCGTATGAGGTGGAACAGTAAGTAGGAGCATTTACTTTTTCCTTCATTTATACAGGATGCAACAAGCATGACTCTTGCGTTTGCAGAAACCCTTTCATCAAGGAGATAGCGAGAGCCTGTACCGCGTTCATTTCCAAAAGGGATTACTCCAGAATTTTACGCATTTTAATAATTTAAACGATTCATTTGTTCTTCTCTTCTCTTCTCTCCTTCCGTCCATTGACCGAGATACAACATTTTTTGGACTCACTGACGCGACCGGCTCGATGCTCTCAGTGAAACGGTGCCTTTTTATCCCTGACGCCAGCTTCAGTTTTACCAGTGGACCCATTTTACCACATAGGTACAAGTCAGACTCTTTCGATTAACTACGCTACATCTAAATCATGGTTGCTTTTATTGTAAGCTTACCATATGATTTGGATTAAAATGGAAATGCAATTGGATGGAAAAATTTGAATTAAGTTTTGCTATAAAACCATGTTGTGATGTGGGTGTTATTCTCGGTTTTTTTTTTTTTTTTTTTTTTTTTTTTTTTACCTTAGAGGTAATCCACACTTGTTTACGCATCGAGCCGGTCGCGTCAGTGAGTCCGAAAAATGTTGTATCTCTGTCAATGGACGGAGAGAAGAGAAGAACAGATGAATCGTTTAAATTATTAATCCTGCACCCCGTATCTCGGCTCCCATTGCATAGATTTTTGTAAAACTTTCGAATTTGCAGTCCTATTTTCGAAATATGTAAATCGTAGATAACGGATGTGGCCTAAAATGCTATCTCGGCTCCTATCGCATCGATTTTAGTAAAACTAGGTATCAGGGCGTATTTTTCGACGAAACCTAACAGGGGCCAAGTCTGAAAGGCGTAAACAATTGTAGTTATGGCATCGTCTGATCATTAGAAAGTGATTTGTAATAGCACGGATCTGATTGCCACTGACACTTTTGAACCATCACTTCCTCCCTTAATATATTCTTACCAAGTCTGCTTATTGTTTACAGGAAATACTTAGCAAGAACTACAAAGTAAATCGTCCAAACTACAAACTGAAGGGAAATACTTAGCAATAATTAAAACAGTAAATCGTCCAAACTACTAACAGAAGGTAAGCACAAGTTTTAACCAATTTATTTTAATTTTTTGGCGTACGACATGGCTCGGCCTCCTAATGGTATTAACCCCAATGAGAAAATGTCTCACCAACTAGAGGTAATGGGTCACTACACTGTGTTTATTTTATTTGTTATCCCGAACGTACTAGGTGAGTAGATAATGTGGTGATTTTTCCGCATTTTTATGGAGCCGAAATCGCGGAGAAATCCGCTTGTGAAAAATCCAAAAACAAGAAGACATTTCAAACACAGCCAAATGGCAGGAAACTAACGACGGCGATGTACTGCGGTAGTCAAATCGCAATCTTCTCTCATTCTCCACTGATGTGTGTTAAAATGAAAATGTCAATGTGAAATCATCGCTTGTTTATACACGCACAGACCGCCATAATTTTTTAACGAAACCATAGATCAATTTGATCTTGGGCTCAAATGAAAGCTCTCTACAAGACCTTTCATCGAAAACCAATTTAAATGAAAGCCCTTAATTCAAGCTTTAAAACGAGCAACAGTTCAACTTGGGGAAACAAACGGTTCAAAAGTTATGACCGTTCGAAGTTGGCGGGGCGCGCTATTTTCAAAGCGCGTGGAGTGTATACTTGCGTGCCACCCCTTCCTACCTTTTCCCCTCGTGACCTTTTCAGCTGATGACGGATGAAGAAAGGCCCAAAGCTCCTTCCACCTAAAGAATGATCAATCATTAGTGCAAAATTACTTTTATTTCTGTCGAAAATAGGAAAATAATATTAAATTAAATGCTAATAAACGATAAAAAGCTGGCATAGATTATTTTTTTGCACCCGACTCTCCCCCCCCCCACACACACTAAATGAGGCTGAAGAGAGGTGAGAGAGAGATATTCAGTAGTAAATGCGAGTTTCAAGTGCTGGTTGGCTAGTTGCGTTCTAGAGCCTTTGAATATTTTCTACAGCTCTTGAGTGTATTTGGCGGTAAAAAAGGCTTGATTTGGCTATTAAATATTAAATCATAGAGGTGGGGGGGGGG